TGCCAGCCAGGGGCAGTCTAGATACCACATCTTAGTGTCTCCTGGGCTCTAAGTGGGCAGAAGTTCTCTGATGTTCTAAGAGGGAACATAGAAAATAGAGATGAGAGTGGGGATCCAGACAGGACTTCTGGGCAAGAGGGAAGTGATCATATGGCACGGAGCCTCTCTTGGATCAGCTACACCTGGAAGATTGAGGCGTTAACTAAGGAACTGGGTTGATGTGAGATGATATACCAATAACTGGCATTTTTAAGCTTTTAAAAATCTTTGCTATTCCTATTCTCCTGATCTAATAATGCCATCAATGGAAAGGCGGGGGTGGGGGGAGGGGGTTCAAAGCCAGATGAAAATTTTGTTTACAAGCATGTAATGGGTAAATATTGATTTTCTCTGGCCACTGCTACCACATGGCTGTCATACTGCAACAGCACCATTGCTTTCTATTTCTGGTTTCTGACTTAACCAGGATGGGAAGTTTAAGTGGTAAGGTGGAAAGGCAAGTATCAGCCATAACCACATAGCATGAAACAGTGGTGTGGAGGGGACTGGGGGTGAAGAATTGGCTTGACTCGTCTTCACTGAAGATTGCCTGTGGAGGAGAAAGGAGGGATAAGCCTCTCTCTAGAGCTTCATGGAAATGAAGCCTAATCCTAATTGACACCTTAAAAAATAGTATAAGGGATTGAATCTAGAGCTTCATGGGTAATGTGCCTATGCTACACTCCCAGTGTCTGAATTACTTTTCTTATTAACAGAAAAATACCCAACATCCAATATTTTTAAAAATTATATATATACATTTATATTTATATTTATTTGGTATAGAGTCTCGCTATGCAGCTCAGACTTACAATGATCCTCCTGTCTCAGTCTCTGGTATTACAGGCATGCACCACCACACCCGGTTTCAGTGGCCTGCATGGTGTACCAGGGTTCTGGGGCTGGCAATGCATGAAGTACTGGGGCCCAAACTTGGGTCTTTAGATGTGTACCCACGTTTATAGCAGCACCATTCATCATAGCTAAATCCTGGAAACAACCCAGATGCCCATCAACTGAAGAATGGATAAAGAAGATGTAGTATTTTTGCACAATGGAGTATTACTTATCTATGAAATAGCATAAATTTGAGTCTTTTGTTTGTAAATGGGTGCAACTAGAAAACATACTCTTAAGCAAAATAAATAAGACTCACATGTGCAAACATCATATTGTCTCCTTAGTGTGAGAACCTAGAGAGCATACTCTTAAGCGAAATAACTAAGACTCATATGTGCAAACATCATATTGTCTCCTTAGTGTGAGAACCTAAAAGAAAAAAAATGGAATCTGAAGGGGACAATAGATACTGGGAAAAGGGAATGAACTTATTCAAAAGGAAAGAGTTACTGAGTTGAGGAGAAGGACAGGAGAGGGAGTGGGGAAAATTTATCTGTATGTAAGTCACATGGTTTGGACAATTGTACTGTTCATTTCTGCTGGTCTATGGAAAGAAGCAGATGATGCTTTAATTTGTTTCATCTCCTCCTTATGTACTTTTTCCTTTTCTTAATTTCTTATACATTTCTTTCTTCTTCCAATTTTACATGCATATATCTTGTAATATGAGTAACTGGTTGGAAGACAACACTATGCATTACAACAAATACTGTGAAATTCATATTACTTTGTTAGGTGAAAATCTATATCACTTATAATTTTTTCTTTCTTAATTCTAATTTGTACTCTCTTTAAAAATAAAAATAAACAAATAAACAAACAAACACACACTTGCGTCCTTGTGCTTGTCCACTGAGCTATCTCCCCAGCTCCACAACATTAATATTAAAGAAGGAAAGGTTTATTTCAGCACACGCTGGTTCCAAGGCAGGGTACCATGGCAGGGTGGCACTGAAGGAAAGAGACAGCCCATAGCATGGGAAGCAGAAGGCAGTGAACAGCAAGGAGCAGCAGCAATGAGACACCCTTTCCCTTTAATCTGAAACAGGTTACACACCTTTTGGGTGATGCCACCCACACTCAGGGTGGGGCTTTGGTCATCAGTACATCACTTTAGCCACACCTTCCTATCTAATTCCAATCAGTGGACTAATTTAGTACTACACACCCTTAATCCTGTTATCACATATGCAAGATCCAGCCAGCTCAGAAAAGCCTCACCTATGTTCACTGAAGTCTGGTTGATATTTCTTGTCTGTGATCTCCAATCAGTTGATCTCAGGTAAAGTCACTGTATCTGCCCCTTCCTTTTCTTGTCTCTTTTTTTTCCTATATTTAGTACAGGTTCTACAGGGTCTCACTACACAGAGGGGACTCATAGTGAGCCTCTTGTTTTCAGCCTCCAAGCGCTGGGATTATAGGCACATGACACCATGCTCAGTCTCAGGCTCCATCTCAGCATGCTCTTGGGGCTGGCTGGCACATTGCTTTCCTTTTTTTTTTAACATTGCATTCTTCTTTTCTTGGGAAATTTAGCCCAGGCTACAAGGCTACTGTATATGGCTGTACATACTGTGCCCTGCAAAAACCTGGGTGGTTCCATTTATATTCTATGAGATGATTTAAGAAATCAATGCCCAGAAGTGTTTGCACATCGTTATTACTACACTGTTATGTATCCTGTTCATTGATAAATAGTGGACTACCTCTTATACACCAGGTATTGTTATATGCTGAAGATTTGTCAGTGAACATGATAGCCAGACTCTCTAGCCTTGGAGTACGTACAGAAATATGATTAATGATAACTTTATAAACATGTTTAGATGTTATAAAGGTGAGATTACATATACTAAAGGTGAAGGAAAACTTCAGCTGGAAAGTCTAAGAGCTATATTTTTATGCCCTTTAGTAACACCCAAGACCATATTCTATAAGCATGGCAACTAAGCTGGATTGTCAACTTGGCGGGTCATGTTATTACCTTGGGTATTATATCTAGTCCCTGGACTGTTATTTTTGAGTGCTGTCTCCTACTCTGCTTCCCACTCTCCTCATGAAGTGAGGAGCTCTACTCTACCATGTCCTTCTGCCATAATGTTCCTGCTTTGGAGCCAGATGATCCTGGGCTGAAATCTCATAAGACAAATGAATCCTCTTTTCCTTTAATTTGTATATATTGGTTATTAAGTTCCTATGACAAAAACAAAAAACAAAAAACTGATCATTACTATAAGCAACAGATGTTCTCTATTTAACTGTTTTCTTTTTCTCCTCCAAATTAGAAATAGTAGATTTAATAATGTTATGTATTAATCAAACATATGATGTAATAGAATTAACAAGTTCTTTATAGACTTTGTTTTTAGCAGGCTGGGATGGTGTTTTCAGAGAATGTGACTATTTAATATTCTAAGTTGAAAATTTCATTATATGATACTTACAAAATTAAGATTTTTTTTGCAGTGACAGAGAGAGACTGGACATTATTATGGCTTATATCTGTACATTCTCCAAAACCCCATGTGGTCATTGGTGGGTCTTCTCAGAAGTGACTCAATCTATGATGTGTGATGCTGTAATCAAAGATGTGATGCTGGGATTGGTTCATGGTGTGAAACTAGAATTAAGGCTGCCCGCCCCCGAGGCTGTGAGCATTCCCTACTCTAAGGGCAACTAGACTAGAGAATATATAAGGAAAGAAAGAGGGTCACTGCTTGCTTGCTTCCTTCTGCCTGCCATGATTTGTTTTTCCTTTGTGCTGTCCGTCTGCCATGCCACCCTCCCATGGAGCCAGCCATTTGCTATCTAAAACCTCTACAAATGGTGAAGTAAACAAACTTTTCCTCCTTTCACTTTGCATGCTGGGTATTTTGTCTCAGCGATGAAAAAATAACTAAGACACAAATTTAGTACACTTTGACACTTGTGAAATATATTTTCTATCTATATATTTTCTAGGAAAGTCACAAATCTCATTAAAGCCCATAATTTCCTCATACAACTCATTTAAATATAACTGAAATATGTTATATTTAATGGTTCCCTGTAAATACAAGATTTAAAAAAATGTAGGCTCATTTTTCTGGCTCTAAACCTTCATTTCCTTATCGTTCTTCACTTTCATTATTAGTTCTAGTGGCTATTTTTCTTTTAATGGTTCCTGGTAAGTATAAGATTAAAAAAATGTGTAGGGTTATTTTTCTGCTTCAAAAACCTTCATTTCCTTTTACTTCTTCACTTTTATTACTAGTACTAGTGACTATTTTTCTTTTAAAAGTTTTTTATTGTCATTGTGGTTTTGTTTTCAAAACTAAAAGTCAAGGTTAAAGTCAAACCAAATTAAATCATAAAGCTCATTACATTCCTGACAATAAACAGAAAATCATCAGAATATACTAAGGTATTAGTCCATAAGGTGAATCCACTCTTAGGATAAAGGCCCCTCCTAAAAAACTCACTCCAAGGACCCTTTATTTTAAAAAAAATCATAAAATGAGAAGTCACTATGATTCATCAATTATTAAGGTTGTCAAAGGAAAAGTGAAACTGAGAATGTTAAATCCACAAATGCTAATGACCTTTTGGTTTCTAAATTATAGCTTTATAGCAGGAGAAGACACTGCAACAATTTGTTCATCTCTTTTTGATATAGCATATGTGAGATCATTTTGAGGGGGAAGTTGCTGCAGAACTTTCTGAGTTACATATAATACTAAGGAAATTAGAATGCCAGAATTCAGACTTTTAGCCTTCTGCCATACATCTATTGCTGTGGCTGTTTCCTAATTTGTTACAGATTCATCAAGGCCCTGAACCTCATCTTCTTTCTCTTTACTCAGGGCTGATAAAGCCAGCTTTCAAGGGCAGAAGTGAAGATAGATTGAGCCAGGATTTTGGAAGCCTTCCTAAACATGAAAGCTACCAACACAATGAAGGTGTTCTTATTATTCAATTAGGTATTACTGGCTTCAAATCCTCACTTTGTTCCTTGGGCAGAATCAAAACAAATGGAGCTATTGGTTAGCGGAAACAGACACTGCATGGACGGTTTAACTTACTTCTCTTACAAACCACTGACAAAAGGCAGGGCCAATCCATTCTCTTGCATGAACACCACAGTCTATCCAGACAGCTCTTTTGTAGGCTCGTGATCTCCTGCCCAGCTGAAAACAAGAGTATTCAGAATAACCAACACAGGCTTTTGTTGTTGGATTCACTGAACAGCATAATATAACAAGGTTTCAGCCTGATTCTTCATGAGTTTGGTTCATTAAGTAACACAGTCAAAAGATAAAGAGATATCTTATCTACTTTGAAGGTCCAGGCTTGTTTATGTGGGAACAATAAACTTACTGCCCTAATTACACTAGAAGAACTAGAGGACACACAAGGAAAAGGTCAACCCTAAAACAGGTTTGCTTTTTCATTGTGATACAGTATATGGTTATTAAATAAAAAGCCACTTTGTCCTTCCTTTCTCTTTTTTTCACTTTTTTCTCTCTATTTGCCTATCTCTTTCCTCTCAGAGAAACATAACTATCTCCAAAGAATACTTCTTTAAGGAAGAGCTATGCTTTATTAGTGGATAAAGTCAAAGTTTATTAAATCACAAAATGCAAATAAACTTGATCTGATAGCATAAATGGTAGATTAAAAAAATTCTACTACTAGTTACATTCTCTTAATGAACAGAGGGATTTGTTCTAATAGTGTTTGTAAATAGGATATCATGTCCACATCTTGTACAACAATTAACCACTAGAAAGAATGTATGCAATGTGTTAATTATTGAAACTGTCCTACCAATTTGGTTTGAAACTGTCTCATTGTTATTTGTTTCTCAATAAAATTATGGAAAAAATCCCACTACATCAATATTACTTCTAACCTGGTTTATAATCTAGTCATTCATAGGTATTTCTTGGCATTATTATTAATAGAGAATTTAGTTTTAACTCCTTCATTAATTTTCAACTAACACTTCTGGAAATCCTTTTTAATGTGAGACATTTAACTCAGCCCTAGAGATTCAAAGGTGAAAAGACGAAGAATTTACAGCCTACTAGGGAAGGCAGACAGGTAAACATTCAATCAACATCTATGATGTGCATATCCATAAATTACCTTCGGCAGATAGAAATGTAATGTTAAATTTTCTTGGGGAATAAAAGAAGTTTTCTCAGAAGTGTTGAGCACTTGAACAAGATTAGAAGTTTGCCTGGTAGACAAGTTGGAGAAAGGTATCTTAAGCTTGGAGACAATCTGATAATAATGTATTTGAGGAATAGCCTCTGTTTGAGGAAAGAACAACACAGGAAGCTGAACAAAGAGCAGAAAACACACGAAGATCCAGCTTCTGAGCATGTGTGTGCCTGCATGCCACAGCAGTGTGGAGGATAGTCTAGAGGTTGAAATGGTCAAGAATGGACACCTACACACAAAATTCTCAGATAGAATTTAGGATGCAATTTCATCTCTTTTACATAGTGTGCTGGGGCTTCAAGTGTTCTTCGCTCTGTGTGCAGCTTTCTGTGCATTCCGTGCTTTCCTCAAGGCTGGAGACTCAAACTGAAGTTCAGTACTGAGGCCATTATTGCAGTAGTCCAGGGAACATAGGTAGAGAGAACTTGGAGCAATAGCAGCAAGGATGGGTAAAAAATTGGGAGTTGATTCTAAAGAATTATCAGTTTTGGGCAGAAAATGTAAAGTGAGTGATTAAAATAAAGGAGAAGAGATTGAAAGCATACTCACTGTGCCACTCTGAATCTGAAGTGGTTTTGTAAATATCCAGATGATAGTGTCAAGTAGACAATGCTGTGTGAATTTAAAGCTCCAGGGAGGGGATGTCACTGGATAGAAAGTTCTGGGATGACTACTGATAATACAGACAAGAGGTGCCCATTTAGACAGGGCTGTAGAGGAAAAACAGAGCCAAAGGTAGAGTCCTAAAGGTAATCAAAACCTCAGGAAAGGACACAGAAAGAGGAGCCAGTGAATGAGACCTGAAAAAATGGTTAGAAAGATAGGAAGAAAATCAACTAGCAGTCAGCACTGACCTTGGCAGGGGAAGTTTTAAAGAAGTTTTGGGCACAAGAGTCCAGTTCTGAGCAGAGGGTAGGCAAACAGACATGGGGAACTATAGTTAAATGTTCTTACATATTTACCTGAGAACAGGTGGAAAACTACAGCTCAGCAGCTGGAAGACAATGCTGTATTAAGAGGTAGGGATAATGCGTACCTTCTTAAACGTGTGTGTAGTTTTGCATTGGGTGGTCCTAAGTAGCACAAACTTACAAATGATTTGTATCAATAACTTTGTAGATATATAAGAAACAATATTCTCTGGAATACTAAGCAACAAAAACATACTATGGCTTAAAAACCAAAGGAATTTTTCTCCCTTAAATTATGCAATGTCACAGGAGACTCTACGAAAGATCATTTCATTTCCTCCCTAGATGTCAAAGTTAAAAAAGATAAATGTTGAGTATTTTATATTTACTTAACCATTTCTTCTTTTACCTTTAAAATAAAGAGAGATCTTCCTTCAGATGATTTTCCAATGGAGAACATTTGAATGAGGCTTGAGTGAGTTTTGTTGAGGTGATGCATCCAACTCTGAATCTGTAAAGTAGCCAAATAAAAGCTACATAATATTCTCTCACAGTCATGGAAATTTTAGAGAACAAAAGTTAACAGGACAACAATAGGTCTCAGATTTCAAAGGACATATATGGGGTATAAAATGAATCAATTTTTTTCTCTGGGAGACATAAAATTACATTGTATTTTTTGTCTTTACATGTAATAGTTTATATCTTTATATTCTTCCCTCTTTAAAGCACAGCTTCTACCAAATGTCATTAATGTCTTGCTGAGAGTATTTTATAAAAAATGGATGTGTCTGATTTCTTTTTGAAAATCAAATTTATTTCTATTTTCCCCACAAACATTAAAGAGGAAAAGAATAATATGTTTCAAGAAAACTCATCTAAATTATGTGAAAGTATTACTAAAATTCCATGTCATATAATTTGCACTGAACAAAATATGCTAAGGAAAGTATTATCTTTTGCATTTACAGGTTATTTTGAGCCCAAGTTGGAGGGCATACTCTGACTTATTCCTTTAGCTATAGCGATCCATTTGCATTGATCCATTTGTATATACTTATCTGTCATCAGGAGGCATATTTGGGATGGAGAAATAAAGTGCTTAGAAAGAAGGGTGACATTTCTGACTCAACAGCCTTGTAAAGAATAAAGAAGTAACACAAACTTGTGCCACTGTTCAATGAGGTGAAAGGACCTGTCTTGAAAAAAATATTTTGGAAAGTGCCTGAGTTTTCTTTCATTCTGTTATTTAATTTAATGAGCAGGATAAGCACATGCATGAT